AATCACCAAGAAGGTCACATGACTCTGAGTTAAGTTTAATTTACTATCAAGTAGACTACATGTAGTATAAATTTTATAAACATTGGAATTCATGGTGAGACCTCTGTAATTATTTAAGTCAATGTTTAAACCTCGTTTGAATAAAGGAACAAGTAATCCTTCTTTCCATTCTGTAGGCATAACTTCTAGGGATTTTACTTTGTTAAAGGCCCCATATAAAGTTTAAACCACTTTGGCTTATATTGTAGTCTTACCCAATGTTATCAAAGTGTGATATGTGAAATTTTTTTTTTAAATTTCAAAAAGTGTTTTTTGATAGACTTTTTGTTCCAAAATTTGTGAATTTATTTAAAACCAACTTTTAGAGGTCACTCATATCTTTCAATTAGCCACAATTCATACCAATGCATAGCATTCATCCTCCCATGCTTTTTGCCGAAAAAATTAAGAAAATCGGTTCATAAATAAGCGAGAAATGAACTTATCAGTGCATGAAAATGGTTCTGAGAAAAATGCATTTCAAAATTTTAGTTCTCATAGAAACCAATGGTACAATGATATCTAAAACATAATTTATTCTTCCTTTTAACCTGGTTAGACAATCAACATCGGTTTTTTATGAAAGTCTAACATATTTAGAAAAGATTGACATCGAAAAAAAAATTTCAATTTTTTTCAAAAAGTTTTTGGTACCTTAGTGACATCACTAATGTTTCAAAATATTTTTGATATGTTAAAACATTGAAGTGGCCCATTAAATATGGCATTTTATTATTGAAATAGTTTGTCCTTTGTTCAACCTTTGCATTGGTGTTAAAAATATAATCTTTTTTGAAATGCATTAAGAAATATTTGATGATTAAGAAATTTCAACTTTTTTTGAAAAATGGCGGGAAATTTGAATATTTGAGAAATGAAATGCTCACAACTTTTTTTCAAAATTTTTTTTTTGTTCAAAAATCTCTAAAATCACTTTTTAAGTCCTGACAAATAGTAAATGAATGATAAAAAAATATTTTCAAACTTTAGACGGGGACTTTAAAAAGGTCAAAAAGGGAAGAAAACATTGTATTTCCCCCGCCCGTATTTAAGAAATTCATTAGGTATATTATCCGTACCACACTTCTTGCCATTATTAAGCTTTCTGAGACATTGCACAAGTTCAGCATATGTAAAGCAGAAGCTGTTTAAGGCATTATTATCATAGTTAGTTTCCTTTAACAAAGAATCTATCTTATCTGATAGATTATTGGAGGTAAACTTTGGATTACGATTATTACGCCCCACCCTTTCCCAATACAAATGTAGAGCCTCAGATATGGCTTTCAGGCCCGTAAGACACTTTTCTCCAAGGGGGGTGCGGTTTTTAGCTTACTAAAGAGAATATAAAATTGTCATTTTTTTGCCGCGTAAATCAAATCGCGTAAGACAGAGGGGGGGGGGGGGGGGGTCAGTTACTCCCTATATTGATTTGGAATTAACAAATGCAACTTTCAAATGTTCCAATTGTTTTGTGGGGGGTGTGAGGAGTGGTCCACTCCCCCTAGAAAATTTTACAGTTTTGAGATGCTATTTGGTGCTTTCAGGGCACCTCCATAGTGTAAGTTTCTAAGTAGTACGCCACCACCACGGGAATAAGAGTTGAGTGAATAAAAAACCTAGCATTCAGGGGGGTCTGGGGGTTCTCCCCCAGGAAAATTTTGAAATTTGGTTGTATTTGGAGCGAATTTGCAACCATCTGGTACGCCTGTGCGTTATGAGTCAATAAGAAAAATGTGAATTTTTTTCAAATTCTTTTGGGGTTGCCAAAGAGGATGAGAGGGTGAAGTTGGGTGGGGTGCCAGTAGGGGAGCAAGGGGTTGTCCCCCAGAAACATTGACCATATCAAGGTGCTATTTGATGATGTCTGGGCACTTAAAAAATGTCTGAGACAATACATGAAATTCAGAATATTTTCTTTTGTTTTGTGGGGGATGTGAGGGGTGGCTAACTCTCCTAGAAAATTTTACAATTTAAAGATGATATTTGGTGCTTCTGGGCACTTTTAAAGTATATTAGTCAATAAAAACATTGAAAAACAATCACAATTTTTTTCACATTTTAGGGGTGTCAAAGGGGGGAGGGGTAGACAGAGGGGGAGGTGGGGCTGGGGTGCCAGAGGGGGAGCAAGTGTTTGTCCCCCATATCAAAATTTACAATATCAAGGTGCTATTCGATGAAGTTTGGGCACTTTTAAAGTGTCTGTGCCTAAAAGTGCCCATTTCCCAAGAAAATTTTACATTTTTAAGGTGCTATTTGGTGCTTTCTGGGCACTTTCAAAGGGTATGAGTCAATAAAAAAAATTTGAAAAATCTCAATTTATTTTTGGGGGGGGGTGGTGTTAAGGGAGGGGGGCTGCCAGAGGGGGAGGTGGAGTGGGGATGCCAGAGGGCGAGTAAGTGTTAGTCTTCCAGAATCATTAACTTTATCAAGGAGCTATTTGATGATGTCTGGGCAATTTAAAAGTGTCTGAGACAATACATAAAACAATTCAGAATTTTTCCATTGTTTTGTTTGGGGTGTGAGGGGTGGCCCACTTCCCTAGAAATTTTACAACTTTACGACGCTATTTGGTGCTTTCTGGGCACTTTCAAAGTGTATGAGTCTATGAGAATTTAAGAAAATCACAATTTTTTTTGGGGGGGGGGGGTCAAGGGGGGGTTGCCAGAGGGGGGGGGGGGGTATGCAAGTGCATGAAGCAAGAGGGGGAGTAAGTCCCCCAGAAAAACTTACTATATCAAGGAGCTATTTGATGATATCTGGGCACTTTAAAAGTGTCTGAGACAAAACTCTAAAATAAATTTAGAACTTTTCCATTGTTTTGTGGGTGGTGTGAGGGGTGGCCAATACCCCTAGAAAATTTTACAATTTTAAGATGCTATTTGGTGCTTTCTGGGTACTTTCAAAGTGTATGAGTCAATGAAAAAAAAATACAAAAAAAATATTTTTCAAAAAAAAAAATTTTTTCAAATTTTTTTTCAAATTTATTTTGGGGGGTGACAAAGGGGGGTGCGGTCGCACCCATCGCACCCCCCCATCTGACGGCCCTGGCTTTGGGGTCAGTTAAGATCATATCTTTGTTGTTAGGGTCTTGGATTTGAATGGGATATCCATTATTTTCATTGAACATTTTCAATTTTTTCCAGTAGGATCTTGAACATTTAGAAAGTGACCTAGCATTACTAGTTAAAACTTTGATGTGATTCTTTACATGTGATTCAACTATTTTCAACTGAACTTGTTTTTTACGTTCGAGGTATAAGTTCCAAATTTCTCGAAGTATGTCAGGGTCAGCTGACTTTGAACGACTCCAATATCGGTAGAAGCGTGATGCTTCTTTATGATTATTTATCAATAATTTAATTTCTTTATCCCAAAATGAACGATGGTTCGTTGGTACCCTCTTAATCCCAACCCCTATATGAGCAGCCTTCATTATATTCTCTTTGAATGAGGACCATGCATCTTCAATGTTACTGCACTTGGAAATGTCCCAGGAACTAAATTCAGTATTAATGGCGTTTCTGAAGCAATCCCAATCTGTGTTATCATTGATGTTCCAAATTACAGTATCTTCATCTTTATTATCAGGAGGAACATTGGTCGTAAGGTTACCTGACTGAGAGGGCAGTATAGCATTTATAATCATAAAAGAGTGGTCACTACCTAAACTTGCCTCTTCGTGGGTTTCATCAATAATCATATTTTGGTACACCTTCATAAAATTATGGTTACCGAAGCAATAGTCAATGGATGAATGTTGAGTTCCCCTTGACCATGTTATCTCACCCTGACAGTTAATAGAGTTTAACATGTGCATGCCTGTGACATCACTGAAAAGATCGATAAGTTTACCATTTTGGCTGCTTTGCCCTTTACAAAATTTTGTTGCCTTCCCATTAAAATCACCCATCAATAAAGTATATGTGTCATCTGATTCAACCTCTGCAACATTAGAGATCAACTCATCCATTAACTTTTCGCTTAAAATTGAATTTTTTCCATCTACGGGAAAGTAAGTAACTCCAAGATTAAGAACATTATTATTAATTTTAACACGAATCCATAATCTTTCTAGGTCATCACAACTCGAGTGAAGTAAATCATTGTCAAGGATTACTATTCCTTTCTTAACAAAGAATCCTACACCACCACCTTTTTTACCAACTCTGTTTTTAGGGATCCACACATAGTTATCATTTAAAATTGAAAGCGTGTTAGTGTCATCAAAAAAAGTTTCAGCAATAGCAACAATATCATAGCTACATTTAGATAAAGTCTGGTTGAGCTCATGCTGTTTAGCAAGACCAAAGTGGCATACATTATTAAAAGCAAAGGTCATTTGAGTGGAGCTGGTATAGATCTTTCTTCTTCCCCGACGAGTTTTGCGATTACGTTGGTGAATGACAGGTTCAGGAGTGGGCGGAGATATTGTAAATGAGTCAGATGGGACGAAGGCAGCAACATTGCCCAAAGCCTATTGTGGCCAGCGCTGTCCAAACTGTCCATTAACAAAATTAGGGTGGTTAAAGTTTTGTGTGAATGGGCACCTTGCTTTCTTATGTCCAAAATTAGAACAGGAGTGGCAGCGTATGGAATTTGTGTGCCAACAAGAATTGGCAAGGTGACTCCTTTCTCCGCATTTAAAACAGGCTGGTGAAATGTTACGTGAAATATCATGGGAGGGGGGCTGGGCACGTTGGTCACGTACGGGGGGCTGTTGTTGCTGCAAAGAGGGGACATGAATATCGTTGCTGGTGGGTTTGTGTTGGGCTGTAGTCTGCGATGAGCATTGCAAGTTACGTTGCTGTTGACGGGCACGGTTGTTTTTTGTAACACCTCGTGTCTTACAGCCGAGTCCCATGTTACGTGCCAATTTATTAGATCCTGGCTTTGATAAGTGAAGACCGTCTGACCAGAGATAACCTTCATTTATTTCTCCACTCTGTAGTTTAAAGCCATTTGTGTCATTGTTGATGAACTCGATCTTTTCCTCCTCGCATAGGATCTGTAGCTCAGCATTAAGGGCATCGGCGGTATTCTGAGCCAATTCTTTGTCGGTTCGAGGGCAAATGCTAGAAACGGCAACAGTGGTAGCAATGTTCTTGGCACCCTTAATAGCTAATTGGTATTTGGCTTTGATCGAGGCCTTATCTGATGATTTTACACAGTCTTTACTTCCTACTTGAAGAATAGCCTTTTGGTACTTGGTGTCTAAATTAGTGAGTCGCTTATGGACCATATCAATGTCTGCCCCACCAATAGAAATAACTTCAACGTCATTGAGTTTATCTTGATCGAGGTCACGAACGATAGAACTTCCAATCACCAGCGTTTTTGAAGCATTTTTGGGGTGGGGTTTGACAGGTTCATTTTGGGATTTGTTCATTTTATGCCAGTTAAGGGTTTCACGAAGGCTTTTACACTCTTTTTCAAGTTCATTGCAGGTTGCAGTTTTTGCAGATAGTTGTTTTACAAGATCGAGATTCGTAGTGTTTATTGCACTCACTGTGCTCTGCAAAGCATCAACCTTGGCTGTGGTGTTATCAACTGCCACCTTAAGGTCTTGTATGATAGCTACTAGGTTGCGAGTGTTTATATCAGAGTCATATTTGGAAGTACAGCGAGTATGTAATTTATTGGACTTAGGAAGCTTTGGGGTCTTAGGGGCCGTCCTACATGCTCGAACAGGACGTTTACGCTTCGCTCCTGAGTCTGAGTTGAAAGTACCATTAAGATCCAAAGGCAATGTGCTTTTGCCTAGACGTTTACTTCTGCGTTTATGGACAGACCTTTGAGTGTCATTCTGTGAAAGTGAAGCAAGATTAGTTGAGCAGGTTGGTTCTCTTGGAGTCAAAGCACGAGCTTGAGATGCCCCCTGAGAACACTGAGACTGTTCAGGAGAGTTGTTGATAGTCAGGTTTAAGGTCAGAATATCAGCTAATTCAGGTGACCCCTGACCTTCTTTATAAACAGAATCAGGTGATCCAATAAGCAAGCCAATATCAGTTCCAACTTCTGAGGGTTGAGGGCTAGCCATGGTCATAGGCAGCTAATATTCACATTAACACCTTCTAGTTCTTTAAGTGCTAAAAACTTAATTACCTCAATGCAGTTCAATACTGTATTTTTGTGTAAGTCTGAAATATTTTCCTCAATTTATCTGAAATAATTTCCATCAAATGTCATTTAGACACTTGAAATATCACAAAAATAATTATATATCCAGATTCCTGATGTATTCATGAATCCTGCGGTACTACAATCTTGATTCTTTTTGTTCTTGTTCCTCATAAATCAGTCCTATTTCACAGAGCAAAATTATTCCTGTCAACTGTGTTTGACTGTATTGCGCATGCATAGGAAAAATTAACTAAAGGGGCAAAAATCAATTTTCCCCGAGATAATTGACAAAACAGTCATAGGATCTAACAGTCACTTCTAATGAAGCATAACAATCATCCATTATGAGATCACACAATTCACATCACCATAATATAATAGTTCAAAACAGTCAAGGTTATAAGTTATTGAATGATTTGAAGTGCAATACAGGATGGAATCTCTGTTGGAACGAGACGAAGTCGAGTGCCAATACAGAATATTGAGACAGAATATCCTGTATTGCACTTCAAATCATTCAATAACGTTATTATCATGTGATCCTCTGTATTGCGACGGAGATGATCAACAGGGACAATCTCAGTAGCGATACAGATTGGTACAGCACAAGAACTGACCAATTAGAGGGCTTCATTTTACAGATCATACGATAATACATAGTATTTGACAATTTAATGTGTTTGATAGCTTATTTGACAACTTATTATGTATTTAAACATGGTTAATGGGGGCTATTCTAGCTAGTTTTTATTTGCCCCATGTGCCTTGATCTCAAGTTACTATGGCAACCATTTCTTATCTAATGTTTCTGTTATTCTAGATATATTTTGCTGGATTAATAAAACATTCCATCCTGCATTTCTGTGAAAATTTCATAAGATAATATTGAGAACTTATTATATTATATTACCGATATTATGAGAACTTTATTATCAACCCTCGTACATCATGGATATTCTTTTGTTAAAGATGTCATTTTAAAAGCAAAAAAGGCTCCAAAACGTAATAAAATATGTAGTTTGGATGTTCATTTATGTCTGTGGATTATATTTTATACCACAATCACTTATAAATACCTGAAATTTGCAATAAAAGTGCCCAAAAATTGTTGTTTCGAAATTCCCCATTTTTCCTGTATCGCGCTAGTCACGTGACCCTTACGCGTAGCAGGCAATGCCTAGTATTACAGATATTACAGTACATATTTCAACATGTTCAATATGGCAAACATCAGCGATTCTGACTCCCGGGTTCTGGGAAATGGCTATATATAAATCGGCGAGAGGGTGTTACTTAAGGAGGACAATTTAAGGAGGGGAAATATGTCCAAGTATGCCAGTAAAAGAGCAGATATGGACTTTAGACAAGTACTATGACGGAGAATCAACTAAAAAAATGTGCGTTCTGGAATGAAGACCCGTTGCCATTGACTGAGAATCCCAGCGATCCTATAATCCTACTCAGTTTGAATTTAGACGCGGAAAACAGGTTATGAAAACGGGCTCTCTGCAAAGTTATCAAATTTAGAAAATATGGATCTTGTTTTTGAGTGGCTTAACAAGCATTCGGATACAAGACTTGGCGCTATCTCTTGTCAAATACACGCAGACTTGCAGTAAATTGGCCATTGTAAATTGCAAAATCAGATCGTCAAATTAATCGCTTCGTTTTTAAACGTATGCTTCATATCTTCATCCAAAACTTTAGGATTCGATAGAGATAAGTTAAAACTTGTACAGGAAGAAATGGGAGATCCTACCTTAATTTAGAATCGCTGATTTCTCTGGACAAATTCCGAGAAGAAATTGTTCAACATCGCGATCAGCTCAGACTAAACTTACATGTCGTGCATGTCACTCTGAACTCACGTGATAAAATACGGCATTTTGATTGGTTACTACTCGTGTTGTCATGACGCGAAAAACAATAGTAAACACTGAATATGTTAATGAACTGTCATATATGGAGCAATTGTCTTTCTGATTGGTTAACTTTACACGCCTCCTAAATGAATATAGTAGTCGTAGTAAATGATTCATTGATAACTCTGAAAGTGGGCGTGACCAGCTTTATTTTGACACCAAATTCAAGATGTTTCAAATAAAAAGGGCCTCGCAAGACGAGGTTGAAATATCGGCAGTTTGATACTGATATGGTCTACGATAGATCAAAATTGACTGCCCCGCGTCATATGTCACGTGAGCCTATATTTGTTGAAAAATGAAAGAGATAGTGACACTTTTTAATCTTAAGTTAATACCAATATTACAAACACATATTTTTTTTTTCATTCAATATTTATTTCTTCATTATACATACATTTGTTTTACACTGCATTGATTTATTTTTGCAAAACCTTTGCTATTAGATCTTTAAGTGTTTTCCTATATATACCAAAAGCCACCATTATTTTATGGCTTTCTGACAAAGCTTTATAATTTATCCTTATTTACCAAGTCAAAAGCAAGTTTTGAAATGACTCATACTATCTTTTGCTCTGACAGGACTTTTTAGGAAATATACCTTAAATATCTTTCCATAAACCGTAATCAAAGGCTTCTTCTTCTCTGGATCATTAGCCATTGCCCACACACCCAAAATCTGATCCATGAATCCTGATCCTGATTTTGAGAAATGAGGAACAATATTGTCAATCGAATGTATTGTATTAGTCCAGAAATCAAATAAGTTGTCAGCTGCTTTCCCCTCTAAACCACCTGGAATATCATGGAATAATTTTTAAACATAAAAACATGTTTATCTCAAAAATTGATGAAAAAAATGATGACGACAATAAAAAATGTATCCAAGTACATTCCATAAAACACTATACCTATCTTCACCATGTTGTCTGCAACATGCATAGCATCTTCATAACCATATTGGCCATCCTTGTCAGAATCCCAAACAAAGATCATAGTCACTACTTTCCTGAGCCACACTCTTGGAAGATCACAAAGTCGTACCTAATAAGAAAAAACACCATTTGTCATTTTATCTAACAATTAATTTCACTGAGTGCAAAAAGTGAACTATTCAAAATAGCTAACAATTATTTCTTTATCTGTATGATAACCAGCAGTGATATTTCTGATATCTGTGTTATATTTTCCTTAAATTGTTTATAAGTTGCATTTGCACATAGAATCAACAAACCACTGATTACAACTGTATATCTGTATGACAATATAGTAATAGGGGATTATTTAAAACTGGACTGGAACAAATACCGGATTTAATACTTTTTGGTAAAAAATATTATAAGATATCACTTTTTATGCCCAGCAGAAAAGTGATGTCCCAATTTATGCTGAGCATAAATACATCCTATGGATTTTGAGGGATACCATTTATATCCATGCATGAATATCGCCCATCTCTGCGAGTTTGTGCAGCGAATGAGTGAAGATCAGCAATATCCAAGAGTAGGTAAAAATGAGAAAATCATAGGATATCATATTTATCCCATGGTCACTATTTTTGTGTGGACTTAAAATAATTAGACCAAAAAGTTGTTGTTTTCTAATTCTTTTCTATTTTTTCATTTTATTTTCTGTGAACTTATGATTGCATGAAGAAATTTAACTCATTTTTACTAAGCACATTACCTTATACAACTATATTGTTGCAAATCAAACAGACAAGTAGTTATTTGGCACCAAATTCAAACATAATAAAAAAAATCGTATCCGATGGATACTTTTTTTAAGACGTCATATGAATCTGATAAAAAATATGAATCTGATAAAAATATCTTGTGTTGTTATCCCCATATATATTTAGTATCCATCTGATAAAAAGTGATATCCCAAGGATATTACAAGGCCTCTTTAACTAAAGAATATGTGAATTTAATATTGAAAACATGATGCAATTAATAGTGTACACAATGCTATGATCAAGAATCAGAACAATACTTACTTGATTCATTTTATTTTTTATACTGTAACTGAAGTGTATCACGAGTTGTCTGACATTGCTCATTGAATATTTAGTAGAGTTAGGTCTACTGTAGGAAAACACATCACATCTTTTGACATTTTATTATTTAGATCACATAGTAACTCCTTTCATGAAATAAACTTCAGATAACTTATGTTATTTGGGACAATGATCCTTGTGAATAAAAACTAGCAGTGCAAGAATTCAAGTATGGTGAATGAAAAGCTGAGGGTAAAGAGCATTATAGCATAAATTCCAGATTGAAATTGTAAAAAACAAGTAACTAGCAAATTTTATTTTGTATAAGGTGTATCAAAAGATAGAGGCAAAGGGCATCACTTAAATTGCCTTGTGCGTGCTTTAGATAATGTTTGAATCAAAGCTCTTTAAAGAAAAATTTGACTTTGAACCAACAAAAATGAATCACATAATTTTCACGTAGTGGTGATTCAGGGATTTTATGATGCTTTACATGAACACCCCATGTAGACAGATCTCTCGTGTTGAGAGCCTGGAAAGAAGGAAAGTGGAAGCATTTTATGACTCATGTAACAAATAAGTTTTTATTGTGAATGACAGTCGCATTTACATGTAGCTCTATAAACATTAGAGTAGTACAGTATAATAACATTTTGATATTTCAAGGTATTTTACAAGGTAATTCTACAAGTATGAGAATAGTACAATATAATATTTTGATATTTCAAGGTAACAGGTTTGAAAAGGGATGGCAGTGATTGAAAGTACCATGTACCAACTAAAAAATATACATCACATATTAAAGTTTTCAAAACAAATTGTTTTATGTATTGTTAAAATCTTTCTTTACCATATTTTCCATTACAATGTATGCAGCAAATTGACACAACATAATTTTGAGCATTAAACAATATGCCTTGTGGTCATTCCATAGATAACAATGAAAAGTATAAATGAATGATGGCATGCATGATTGAAACTGTCTGAAAATGTGTAAAAACAAAATGTTGCCCAAAATGGCAGTATAACAAAGCATGTCGTTGAAACTGTGGCAATACAGATTGTCAAACGTAGTGAATTTTTTTATTAACTGCAAATAAAGCAATATGCAAAGCTCTGATAAAATACTAATTGATATTAGAGTCCTTCTTCACACCATAAAAATCTTAGAATACATGTACGAGGGTTGATCCAAAAGTTCCGAACCGTTTGCTCTAAAAATCTCAATACTTTATGAAAATTGTTCATATTTGGCCACAACCACCCCATATATAGTAGTTTCATTTTGTCTGAAAATAAGCAATAAATGTGATCAGCAACATAGGTATCTGGTTACCATAGTAACATGACAACAGGGTATGTGGAGCAAGAGTACGACATATTGTAGAGGTGGAAAAAGTTGATTCTAAAAGAGTGTTACAGGGTACCAAATTTCAAATATGTCTGTCATGCTTGCCTATTTACCTATTATTTTTTCAATTTGTCCATATTCCATTGTTAGTTCTTGATTTAATTTCGCAAAATAGTCTCTTATCCCCTTATATACACTTAGTATCTACTAGCCCTTTGATCAAACACATCTTTAAATTCACCATCACCTGTCTCAGAAAGCCACTCAAGAACAGCAAGACAGACTTCATTTAATGTTCAAAAAGCATGTCTTGTCTTGTAAGTACTTCAGGTCACTATAAAGATAAACGTCAGAGGGAGGCAGATATAGTGAGAAGGATGCAAGGGTAAGCTAAGGCATGTGCATATTTTCATTGACGTTTGAGTAAGTATTGAGGTATGGAATTGCGCATTGTCGAAATCAAACTGGATTTTATGCTTTAATTTGACTGCTTTTGGCGCAAGGCATTCTTCTGGTCAATGACATCACAGTTATCAACTATAGCTTGTATGATATCAAATCACACATATAGCGTTGGTCTAATGAAAGAATAATTGATTAATAGGCATGACTAACAAATTTGAAATACATTTGGTACCCTGTATACACCCTTCAAGTGTCAACTTTTTTTCAACTCTACAATGTGTCGTTCGCTTGCTCCACATACCCTGTGGTCATGTTGCTATGGTAACCAAATACCTAGTATGTTACTTGTCAAATTAATTGTTTATTTTTACACAAAATGGAACTTCTATATATGGGGTGGTTGAGGCCAAATATGAACAATATTCATAAAATATTAAGATTTTTAGAGCAAATGGTTAGGAACTTTTGGATCAACCCTCGTATAATGATTTAAAAATAGATGTGAAATTCATTATTGCTTTGTCTCAAATGAAAAATAAATGTTGAACAATATTTAGCCTTGGGTGGTCAAAGCTTAGAATAAACATATCAAAATCTGCAATATTCTGCAATAACAATTCAAATCTGCAATAATGATTCAAATCAGTCACTTATCTTATGCATGCATGCATGAAACAAGCAAAATTGGGAAATGAAATTGCAAGTACATAATAAAAATATTTATGTTCAAAATTCATTGCTCTCAAATGAGCATCATTGTCAAATATTGCAATCCAAAGCACCCATATATTTCCTAATTTTGTAAGCTAAGCCTGAACGTCAAATTTGATAAGTGCTCTGAACATAACATTACAATCTCTGAGGTTGTCCATAACATTGTTGATCTCCTCCAGCTTATAATACCCCCTTGGTGGGTAAGGCACCTTTTTCTCCTCCATTAGATTAAGCATGGCTTTTAACTGGCGTAAGTTACCAGTTCTCGATCCTTCTATCTTGATCGAATCACTGATGATTTTTGAAACTGGAAGTTGGAGCTCTCCACCAAATAAGCCAATAGGTACGTATACCCCTCCTTTTCTCAAGGTGTATATACCAGTGTGGGATGTTGTCTCACTGCCAACGAAATCAATTACCGCATCCATTTTACCCGAAGCTGTTGTCATAGCAACAAGGTCCTCTTTAGATTGATCCTTGCTCCAAGGGATGGTATCTGATGCGCCAATTTTCAATGCATAATGGAGTTTCTCTTTGTTTAAGTCAGCAGCAATTATTTTTGTGTTGTATGGGAAGACAGAATTAGCGATACTGACTGCCCATATTCCTACGCCACCAACACCAATTACCAACAGACGAGAAAATGGATACAACTTTCCAGCCTCTTCAATTGCAGATTTGACCTTGCTCAGGGCAGCATATGCAGTCACACCACTGCATGGTATCAATGCAGCAAGATCCATGGGGATTGCTTCAGGAACTTTAACAGCAAATTTAAAATGAGGCACGACCACATGGTTTGAAAAACCACCCGCTGGACCCTGCCCTATATCCATGGCCCCCTTTGGGTTGTGCTCACATTGATTGGCTTTGTCTGCCTTGCAAAGCGGGCACTTTTGGCAACCAATCCATGGATGAATGCAAACTTTGTCCCCAATGGCAAGGCCACTCTTGCTACCTTGAACATCTTCTCCAAAAGCTTGAATCAACCCACTAATTTCATGCCCCATTACGACACCTTTGTCGGGCTTATCATCTTGGAAGTGGATATCAGAATGACAGACCCCAGCATATAAAGTCCTAATAAGGAGACCTATAGGTGGAATTTCAGGAATTGGCCTGTTCTTAAGAACCAAAAGTTGACGAGGCTTATGAATTACAGCACAGTTCATCTTGAATCTGAAAAATATCAAATATTCATCAGATATTATATAAGCAATTATTATGTGGCATAACTGATTCACAGGCTGGTATCAAAAGATTTGTCCGCTGTTGCGGAGCATGTTATTTTTCATCAAAACACTAAGAAAATCAAACAATTTATTTTAACTCATATGTCTCGTTATACCAAAGAAAATTACTTGCTCCATGCAATGGATATATCATTTGCGGGTAACTTGCACTTCTGTTTAAAGTCCAATAACGCTTGGAGGAAAACCTATTGAAAATGGCGCCATAGTATAATACTCCATAATGTACCATTCCTTGTGCAACTTTTTAATGGCATGATATAGTGACACGATAATATTTACCTATGTTTTCAGCATTGCTATGAAGGTATTAATGAGATGTCGATGTATTGGGTCTTTTTAATTCTTTTATAAAAAATAATGTTTAATCTTTGGTCCACTGTGACTGGGCAGTTGCAAATGTGAACTGTGAAACTGCTCCGTCACAGCGGACAAAAAATGTAAACAATATTTTTTATTAAAAATTTAAAAAGACCAAATACATATATATTTCATTATAAATTGAGAGTTATGCTTAAAACATATGTAAATATTATTGTGTCACTTCATCATGCCATTAAAAAGTTGAATAAGAAATGGTACATTTTAGAGTTTGATACTCTGGTGCCGTTTTCAATAGCTTTTACTCCCAGCGTTATTGGACTTCAAAAGAAGTGAAGGTTACCTGCAAATGATATATCCATTGCCTGGAGTAAGTAAATTTCTTTGATATAATGAAACATATGAGTTAAAAAATAAATTGTATTCTTAGTGTTTTTAAGAAAAATAGCATGCTCTGTCACAGCGGACAAATCTTTCGATACCAGCCTGTGTGATTGTCAGGGAAAGAAACCTACAGCATACTGGTTCTTTAATTCTAACTTTATTTCTTCATCTTAATTAATTCTTAACTCTTGAAGAGAAAAATGCTTAGGTGGGCACATTTGCTAATAAGTAAACTGCTCAAATATGGAATGTTTGTATCTAATGACCTACTAAGAGTGTCATTGAAGTGCAGGCAAATGACAAATTAACCATTTGTAACTAAATATGTATTCATAACTGAACTATTTATGTTTTTATCATACGTATTAATACTTGTGTACCTCATTCATTATTATGTTAATGGAAGTAAACAAATGAAAATGAAACTAGGTGTGCATCATTGACACATTTATAAAACAATTGTATTCGTACCCCCCCCCCCCCACTTTGGTCACACCAAAATAGTAAAGTTGTGGTTAGGTGCATTAATGCCTCCTTGGGTCTTTATTTATATATCTGAGATTTGTCACTGGCCCAAAGGTGCATTTGATGCCATTTTGTTAGTTTTGGAAATGTTGAGATTCTGAAAAACTCCAAAATCTGGAGTTATTGCATTTTCTCGGAGCTCCTTACGTTAATCTAAGAAATTCTTTCACCATTACATCGTGACACTACTTTAGCTTCGAAATGGTACTGGTTTTGCTTGGATAAATAACATTAAATTGTTGTATTGATTTCACGAGGCGACTTGTCAAACTGCAATTTGTTCACTGAACAAATCATGACAATGCGATGAACTACCCAGCTATTGACTTTCCCCTAAGGATGCCCATGACTCTCATCTCACCAATGTCTCGATACGAAATGTGGCGCATTGTCAATGAATTTGAAATAATTACAGCAAATCTTGATTTTTCAATCACATTAGCGCAATTACCATTGTGTACACCAACTTAGGTGTTGGATAAAACAATTTATCTCATAAGATTCATTGGGACACACATATTGCATATAGTATAGTATGGGATATAATAAATCAACTCCAAAGTACCGCAAGGTTCAAAATATGTACAAGGAATAGTTATAGTTAAATATAGGGAAGCTAACCTGAAGGTACTAGGGTTTATCTCCAAAATGCGAGTTTTTAAACACATTTGTAAATAAAAATGGTGCGCTTAAATCATGTGTTTGATTCATGTTTGCAGAGAAAATCTTAATTTTTTATCCCAATGAATATAAATATATATTTTACCTTATAATCTTACTGCTTGCAGCTTCCGTTGCAATTCAGTTGTGATTGTTAGATAGTTTAAAATTATGTAAAATTGTCATGAATACTTGTAAATTAATCTTTTGAAGGTCAAAAAGGACACTGTGATTTCTTTAAGTGCTTAACATACCAAAGTGCATCTTTCCAAACATTCTTTTTTCAATTCAATTCAATTCACTTTATTTCAAATGTTTCAAATACAGTATTTTACATGATATGTAATGGTCGTTTTTTCTATTTCTTCCCCTCTACAACATTTACTCATATTTATTATTAGTTATCATTTATTTCAATAGTGTTCAAATATTTTATATGGGTCACTTGCAGATCCTGAATATGTTCCTCATTTTGGTCTCGCTTTCAAAAGCAGACCTGATTTTTGAAGAGTGGGTCGAAGTTTAATTAATTGAGCCCAGAATTTCAATCCCTTCCCATTGTCAACTTCCACAACTGAATTAAACAATTTACATTGGCCTATCTGTCTCTTATGTACTGTTGCTCATTAAATGTTACATTATCTTTAAAATCTCTTCTAATAACATTGACATTGCATCTTTATGATGTTCATGATTTATTTATATTTTCACTTACTTCAAAAAGTGCTTAGTACATGTATCCTCACTTTATCACTCATTTATTTAATTATTTAATCATTATATTCTCAGATTGCATTTTTAAGTTAAAATCAATTACAGTGTACTTCATGCAATTAAATTGGAATTCGTAGATATCTCCAATGTGTGCCATTTTGTAAATCTAGTTTTATTTTAAAGGGATACTCCTTGCAAGACCATTTCTCTTTTGATAAGATAGCAACTGCAATAACCATTTAATATATCATATCCAAATTTAATAAATATAAGAAATGATCAAGTACGCAGTCAGATTTGATCATTTAAAAATGAAATGCTTATTTTCATTAGGTAGACAATGCCATATTTTAAGTTTGACTGTTTAGCATTGCTCTAGTTTTCTGCAAGTTGAAATGCTGAATTTTGAATTCTACAAGGAATTCTGCAGGATATTTCAGTGTTTAATGAAATTAAGGCAGATAGGAACAACCTTTTGGATTTCTGCTACTGTTTGACAGAAAAGGTAGAACAATCTATCCCCGTCTGCAGCGTTATGGGGAACTCTTTTTTATGCATATTTTGGTCATATATGTGAATAATTTTTTCTATAAGGAATCTGACTGCTTTCATAAAATATGTCAATTAAGTTTGAATTTCTGGAATTGATAAAGATTTTATGATTCTGCAATACTGTACTTGAAGGCCAATTCCATCCTCGCTCTGCGAAAATGGAATTCTATAGTTAGTGAAATAAGCAGGCCCGTAGCCAGGGAGGGAGGGAGAGTTTGATGGGTTCGAGCAACCCCCCCTGGCCAAAAATTCTTTCAAAATCATGCAGCTTTTCATCATTCTGAGCACTTTTTAAGGGATTTTGGCCATTTTTGGACCAAAATTGTCAAAAGTGAACTCCCCCTAGATTTTTTCAAAAAGTGAACCCCCTTGGCAAATCCTGGCTACGAGCCTGATAAGTATCCCCTTTATTTGACTCCTTCAGTGAAATATATGTTGCGCATATATACCTCTAACTGTGTCAACTTTAAATAATGTTTTTGACAAATACTGCATGAAAGTTATCTTGTAACAGGCAGTTACTTTGGTAACTGGTCAACTCGTACCCAAGACAACTCGTACCCAAGTATATGTTTTGTTTTGAATCAAGTGTTGGGCTGGAAATGGGTATAGATATACATATTATAATGGTTACATACAGTTCAGAATAGTTTGAAGTATGTAGAAGAGTTTTTGGAAGAAATTGATTGAAATTTCAGATGTTCGAGGGAAGAGATCTATGTTTATTCAACATATTCATAATCATTGTTCACAATATTAGTGGTATTTTTGTATGTTAATGAGTGTTTGGAACAAGTATCAGATCTAATTTTCAAAACTTGCGCCTATTTCTTATTAAACAGATAATCTATTTAGGATTTCATATTATCAGATTAAAGAATGATAATTCTAAGAAGTCACCTTCATAAAATTAAGCAATAAAAATATTCTAAATAATATCAATATCAAATATTATTTTGGTACTTATTCATACATGATATAATACTCTTTGCATGCATGTGTTCAAATATAATCCAATTAAGTTCAAAATGGAAAAGAAATTAACAGATTAAATTTCCCTTATCAATTTTCTCTGAATGCACTAAGCTAAATTAATTGTTTGATTCATTTGTTGAAAAGTTACTGTTGTAATTATATTCATTTTATTATGTATTACAAAAAAAGTTGAGAACAAGCCCTTCAAAGCACTTCAAAGGTAATCCAAGTTAAAACAAAATGCTTTGCTTAATCCATTGAGAAAAAATGTCTTCTAAATTCAGAAATATATTGAGGCACATTATAACATTAAACATTTTGACACAGACTCAATTTGTTTTCTTATATGCACCCATAATACAGAAAATAAACGTGGGTACAAGTTGTCTTGGGTACCAGTTGACTTGGGTACGAGTTGTCTTGGGTACAAGTTGTCTTGGGTACGAGTTGTCTTGGGTACGAGTTGACTAGCAAGCGTTACTGTGACCCAGACAGTTACAATACAATATGATATACCAGGCCACTGTTAATTTTAGTTATTCTAAACATACATTACATAAAATCAACTTTAATCACATTATGTGAAGTACTACTAATATTTGCATTAGGTAAGAAGGTACACTCCCCTCCATAAGTTTGGCAAACTAAGCACCCCCATTGAACTACGTGTTAAAGCCTCTTTACGTTTGAATTTTTATTAACTTAATCGGCATTGAAATAACTTATAATGTTGACGGAAACGTAACTTGACTTTATTTCCAATACCTCCAAATTTTCTAAATTTTTTTCCACAATTAAAATAGGTCGAAAATTGATGATAAATTTGACTAATTTTTGAAAATCGTCATTCCCATGTAATCCAATGGGAAATGGAGGGTTCAGGGCAAATCAGAAATTGGGATATCTTTTCAGTAAAAGATTCAGCCAAAAATATTTTGATATAGAAAACTGAATTGTCTAACTTTTATGTACACTAAGTGTTTAGTATATTTGATGAATACTAAAGTTACAGCGCTTCGAAGTCATTTTTGAAAATAATTTTTCGCCTCCTGTGTTATTTCAATGGGAGAGTTTTTTTGAAAAATAATTTTGACTTTAAAGCTCTATAACTTTGTTGAACCTGAAGAAACATATCAATTTCTTGTTAAATAAAGTTAGCAAATTCAGTTGCCTGCCTAACTCGTATTTTTTGCAAGGACTCGGATGGATGGATATTCTGTCATATAACTTGCGGCAAACCTACCATTTCCCATTGGTTAACATGGGAATGTCGATTTTCAAAAATTCATCAAATTTGTCATCAATTTTCGACTTATTGAGGAATGAGAAAATTTGGAGGTATTGGAAATAAAGTCAAATTTTGTTTCCATCAATAGTATGAGTATTTTCATCGCAGGTTAAGTAAATAAAAATTCAAACGTAAAGAGGCTTTAACACGTAGTTCAATGGGGGAGCTAAGGTTGCCAAACTTATGGAGGGGAGTGTATGTACCATGTACAAATCAGAAGTGTAGAAGATCACCTTATTGGGTTGTTTTGGTTGTATCGCAATCCAACATGAAATTATGTAAATTGTGGATAAAGTTTAAACAATAATTAGCCACTTTAGGTATTAAAAAAGTTAGGCATATTGATTGGCCAAAAATCTCTAACCAACTAAAAATTCTTATCCTCAGGTGACATTATCGAAAGACAATGCTGGTGGAGATTATGCCTTAGAAGCCGGTGCCCTCGTTCTAGCAGACCAGGGATGTTGCTGCATTGACGAATTTGATAAAATGACCAGCCAGCACCAGGCCTTGCTAGAAGCTATGGAGCAGCAAAGCATTAGTATTGCAAAGGCTGGTATAGTCTGCAGTCTACCTGCTAGGACAGCAATCATCGCTGCAGCTAACCCTGTTGGTGGACATTATAATAAAGCTAAGACTGTCTCAGAGAATCTCAAGTAAGAACTGGTTTATGTTATTATTATAGTGAAAATTGTGAAGCAGAACACCTCTTTTAGTAGGACACCTCCAAAAGTGAGCATATTTACTAGATAGTACCACATCCTCCTAAGCAGGTATCCAGAATCCGTACATCCTTCTTCCCCCTGCTATAACCAATTTGGAAGCGCCCGATTAAACTGAATCACGTGATCTAATTATGCGCAATGACTTATACATGATTTCTGTCGCAGTGTTGCGACAGCCAATCAGATTGCAAGTTCTTAATTGGGGAAATGCTTACTGCTTATCGCAGGGGGTAAAAAGAAAGAATATATTCTGGATTTTGAAGCCCTGTGATCGGAGGATGCTAGTACCATTGCACATAAACTTTATATAAAGTGATCACAGTACAGTACCATTACCATAGATGCTTCATCTACAGTATACAGGTTTTATTGTACTGTAAATATTTACCTAGAATGATCTTGGGTTCCTGTCTAATTAACTGATCTTGGGTTGCCTAAGATGCATTTTTTAAATTTCATCTTGAATATTTTAGAACACCAAAATATTAACTCCAAATATCAAGTTTATTCATACGCCCACGAAAAATAGTCCAATGTGAAATGAAACAACTTACAGAAACCATGAGTTCAAAATGCATGTCATACTTTGCAGACTTGGCAGTGCACTGTTGTCAAGGTTTGACCTTGTGTTTATTCTACTGGACAGACCAGATGAAGAGATGGACAGTCTTCTCTCAGAACATGTAATGGCGCTGCATGCTGGCAGAAAACAGTGAGTAACACGCCTAATTCTTACATCAATACTAATTAAATAAATGTACCTGTAGCTTATCATCTCCCCAGATGTTATTAATGGCAAGAAAACCATATACATACATGTATGTAAAACTACATATTTTGACAAAGTTCAAATTCACTCAGGAAAAAATCCTTCTGCACCCAGTTGAGAATTGGGAACTTCATGAAGAATTTTGTACATTACAAAGAGTTTTTAACGAAGAATTTTGAACTTTACGAAGAATTTTGTATCTAACGAAGAATTTGAAATTTAAAGAAGAATTTTGAAAGTAACATCTGCACATTAAGTGAGACAGTCATGCATATCATGATCATTAGAGAGTTGATTTAAAATAATGATGGATTTAATTCTAGATCACTTGGCATTGCTACAGCCAGACGATCAGGCCCATCCAATGATGAAGATGACGAGACTAAGAGACAATGGGAGGCCGATAAACCACTTTCTGAAAGAATCAAAGTACAAAGGGGTGAACCCATAGACCCCATCCCACCCCAGCTTCTTAGAAAGGTATATAAATATTGAACTTAGAAGTACACAAACTTAGAAGTGAATTAAGCTGAATGTTCATTGTAATAGGTTGCATCTATATAGTGACATGTGCATTCACACATTGTTTTATTGTCTCTTATTTGGACGTCCATTTTAGTATGTTGGATATGCCAGAAAATATGTCCACCCCAAGATCAGCCCTGAGGCAGCCAGCATATTACAGGTAGAATATCTTTACACACCAGCCACTTACTAAGTAGCCAAGCAAAATGTTCAAAATAATTTTATTGATGGCCATGGTTTTTTCAGTGTTTTTTGGCAAAATTGCCACATTTGATACAACCCTTTTAATAAGTTACAGTATATGTAATGTAAACTACAAATGAAATAAAAAATATCCATTTATCAATTAATTATATTATGAGAACATATTGGGTTTCTAGAAACCAAGGTAATATACATGTCTAGTAAAGGACAGGTGGCGGTAAACCCCTCTTTTAGCCCCCCTACAAAACAAGTATATATTGACATGGAATTGAAGAGGAAGTATGACTCATTACTTAAAATGTGATTTCTGAGAGTTTTGACATTTGACCTTGACACTAGGGTGGTTTAAAGGTCAACTTTGAGAGTTGCTATTTTTGTCAAAATTTTACTGTTTCTAATCCAAGAAATGAGAGCAATTGGCTTTATTTTGATTGTGACTGATAAAAAGACATGTGAATAGAAATAAAATATTTTTTAATAAATTATCACGGACAATTACCAGAAAATTTTGAGAATAAATACCGATATGGGCATTTTTCGGGGGAATAAATTTTCTTGTTTCAAAAATGATTGTTCTTGTTGCCTTTTGAGACTCTAACAGTATCCTAAGCATGGTTTAAGAGTTGAGGTGTGATTATTATTTTAAATGCCCATGGGCAATTAGGATAAAATGACTGAAATTAAATGCACACAAGGGCACTTCAAAAAGAATGGATTTTCTTATTTCAATTTCTTCTCACCAGTTTTTTAAACATGTTTGCCATATCACTTTTACTAAATGCCCATTGGCATTTGGCATTTTATTTGGCATTTGAAATTAAAATGTTTGAATGTACACTTACTTTTAAAGTTATTTGCCAATTTGCAGTTCCCATATTTGAAACACAAATAATTCAGAGAAATCCTCTCTCAATATATATCATAAAATATAAGGCAGCATCATGTATGAATGGCATGACACTCAAAGGATTGCCTAAAATAATTTCTACTTATTCCCTATTTAGAAAAACACTTAGGGCATTCAAATATTTTCTTATAATAATGTCACTAAATTCTATGTTTTCAGAAAAAAACAAAATGTCCCCATGTACTCTCTACTTGTAATGTATATAAATGACAAAGGGAATTGTGATCTTGGATTATATTGTAGCGAAATGAGTTCCAAGATTGATTTTTTATTTTATTTTTTTTTATTAATTTATTGCAATCACCTTTAGATCAGTGGCACATAGTTAAACTAGTGCAGCAGTTAAAACATACAATACATGTGTACAAGTACAATTCTAAAGCAGAGCTAAAAACATTTGCATAATAAAACATAAAAACAAAACTAAAACATTTGCAATACATTAACTTGTTGGTGCTACATATATGTTTTTGATAAAATACTTTGAGCATGCATCAAAAATATAACCTTGTTCTTGACCCAAGATAGCATAGGCCGCATCCCCAATTAAAAACTACATGTATATAAACTTCATTAACAAAGTCATCTGAACTCAAGAGGTGTGTTACTTGCTTTGGCACAATGTGTTTTCACTCTTAAATAATATATAAAACCCTTTAAATAAATGAAGGTTTTGTAGTTTTTAATATAAGGCTCTTCATCAGAATGCCAACATATAATTAATTTTGGATGGCCTAATCTGTACATGCAGTTATGTAGTGTACATGTATGCCCAGGTTAGCAGCCATATTGAAAACATAAACCAGTCAGGCTTATTTTCATCACAAAAGTTAAGTTTTAGTGGTGAGCCCAAACTCCCACAAAAATGATATTTGCAGAGAAGTTACTTTACAGTCTCTGCATTATACAGTTTCAATATATTTTTTGTGGGAGTGTGGGCTGACGGTTAACTTTTCAATGAAAGGGAATGAGCACCATGCTAAAACTTGATAACAAAGTGAACGAAAAATGACAATGTTTTCTAGATTTCCATAGGTAAACTACATACATTGTTTGATTTTGTCAATTTTCTTCTCCGAATACTTGTATGCCATATGTTCCATATATTAAATTCTATATAATGATAAGTTTTGATATTATTTTGATGGTAAACATAATGTGTACCCATATTCAGACAGCCTTGTGATAGGGGTTCTTACTGCCAATTTTTCAAAGAAACGGAGAACTTATGCCACTTTTTGAAATTGCACATCTCAAGAAGAAAGGTTTATCTACAACTTGCAATCGGTTTTAAAAGTAAATGGAAGAATGAGTTTTTCAGAAAAAGTCTAAGTGGACCAATAGTCTGTTAAATGGACCTGTTCTTTTCAGGTAACTCTATTATATATAATACTGAATAAACTTAGAAAATACCTCCTCTTACCTGATAGGAACCGCTTTGTGTTTACTCCTTTTTTAAAAACAAAATTTTCAATCTGAAGGAGAATCCTCCATTTTGTTAGAAGAATGCTCAATTTTTCGGGAAAATTTTCCTCAGATTTTATCATGTTCCAATTTTTTTAGAAAATATAAATTACCCCAATATTTTTCTTTTACTTGACAGATATGCCTTCTAAATTAATTTCGCTAATTTGCAGAATTTTTATCTGGAGTTGCGGAAGCATCACCAAACCCAGGACAGTACCCCTATAACCACAAGGCAGCTAGAATCTCTCATTAGACTTACTGAGGTACAGTATTAATAGAAATATATATGGCATTGTTAAGTAGCTCTGATATAGTATATAATATGAAAAATTTAAAGTCACCATCACAAGTGGTGACATATTGTTATAGTCTCCAACTTTTTTGTGGATGATGGTGTTCGACAATTGGCATTCAGAGTTCAGCATTTGGAGTTTGGCATTTGGAGTTGGGCATCTGTAACAAATGGCAAATAGTGACATTTTGCATGTTAATGCCTTGTTAATATATGCATTGCTAGAATTCTTGTTGGGTGATCTCTCAGTGCTTCATGACAATGAATTAATCCAGAGATAATGACAATGATGATAATGAAATTAATGCATGCTTAGTTGAAACTTTATTTTGATTCAAGGCGCGTGCAAGGTTGGAACTTCGTGAAGTTGCTACGGAATCTGATGCCATTGATGTTGTGGATATTATGAAATACAGCATGATGGACACATTCTCTAATGAACTAGGTTTCCTAGACTTTCAGAGGTCTCAGCATGGCTCAGGCATGAGTAGCAGGTCTCAGGTAAATGCGGGAACTGGGACAATGGGTCTTTATACATATTCAGGCTCATGGCCAGGGGGGCTTGGTGGTTCAAAAAACCCCTGATATTGATATACAAAGTATTGTATCACTGAGTTAGGCTAGAGGTACTTTGAAATGACATAGATACATTAATGAGTATGCCAACATGCAGTCAAAGAACTGTATCATTGAGTGGGCTAAATGTACATTGAGATGGCATTGGTACATTTTCATAGGAAAAAGTACATTCAGTTGACAAATATCATATAGAGTCTCACATATATGTTGACCACGAGGCAGCAGGGCTTTAACTAGGTATTGTCCAGTGTTACAACTTTGTGTGACCCTTGCTATGAGCACAAGACTTATGCTGGAGGCAGTCCAAGGGAATGGTTTTCGAGATAATATTGTATTCATGGTTTGTATATTCCATTGAATGAATCAATTCTGATATATTTACTTATAGTATGATCTGTAAAATGAAGCTGTCTGATTGGTCATTTCTTGTGCTGCACCAATCTGTATTGCTACTGAGATTGTCCCTGTTGATCATCTCTGTTGCAATACAGAAAATATTGGTACGGAGGAGACAATCTCAGTAGCAATAGAGGATCACAGGATAAAAACGTTATTGACTTCGTCTCGTTCCAATACAAACTTTCTCGAGCAGAATATATCCTGTATTGCACTTCAAATCATTCAATAACTAATATCATTGCAGGCTAAGAAGTTCATAGCAGTTCTACAGCGAGTTTCAGAGCAGACATACAACTCTCTCTTCACAGTGCAGCAGATGAGACAGATCGCTCAGGTATATATGAAATGCATTAAACATTGTATGGTGGTCGGAGTATGTTATTTATCTACAAAATTATCAAAATATTATGTTATTTTACCATAAATGCTGAATAAATTAGCTGATTTGGAATCAGTTGATAGTTCATATTGATTTAACTTAATGTTTCATGAAATTGTCTCTAGAAATTATGTCATTTCATGGATGTTACCTTGTGGACGTGCATGGGCTTACATACTCCACAATGTCAAGAAAGACATCCAACTTAGTCACAGTAAACCCAAGCTTTTGTTAAATTTACATTTTCATATTCTAGGAAGCTAATATCCAAGTAAGGGCGTTTGAGGAGTTTGTGTCGTCATTGAATAATCAGGGATTCCTACTGAAGAAAGGTCCAAGAGTATACCAGCTACAAACTGCTGATTGCTGACCATACAAAATAAACTCTGTAAATTCTAGTCTCAAAACAGTCAAGTTTTTGGCTTATATGCCATGTACCCTGAGTACAGAGTACATTTATTTATAGACTGTTCCTATTTCACACATTTTGTTTCTACTGATGAAGCAGTATTGATTGTGTACAAATGTTTAAATCATAGATATATTTTCAAATATAGTACATTGAAATTATCTAGTACATTTTGATTGTTCGTGAGATCTGATTCAATTTTTGATCATCCATGTTACAGACTGACAGATGAATAAACATAAGGGAGCTCACCCCTCTTGAACTCACGACCTCATGGTTACGACATAGCACCTAATATTAGCTTGTGTAGCACTCTAGACCACTCTCCGCTTACATGTTATCAAACAGAGTTGACCTCAATTATGGGATAATTGAATATAAAATATGTTTTACCTTATAATCCTAATGCTTCTTTTTGGTTTTGAACCACCAGTAACTATTCCGTTGTGCTTGTGTGATTGTTTAAATAATGTTAAACTGTCCCATTAACATATAAATGAATCTTTTCAAGATTAAAAAGGACAGAGTAATTTAGTTTAGTTTAACATGCCCAAGTGCATATCTCAAAACATCTGATATGTTATGGTAGTTTTATAACTCACACGGTGAGCTATTGCAATCACTCATGATCAATTGTCCGTCATCTGATATGTTATCAGGGGCAAAGCCAGCAATTATCAAGGGGGTGCAGTTTTTTGGGACGGGGGGTAATGGTTGTGATGCACCTTCTTCATCGCTGACACTTTAAAGTCTTCATGGTTACTTTCAGTTAAAGTAACTTAAAGTTTCAGAAGAACTCAAATATTCCACATTGGTCACTGGCAGATGGTGCCTCATTTTGGCCTCGCTTTCATAGCAGACCTGATTTTTAGAGAATCGGCCTTTTTAGCTTAAATAATTGAGCCCAGAATTCCACATTCTCTCCCATTGTCCACTTCCATAGCTAAATTTAACAAGCTCTCTAGCATTTCCTGTAATTTTGTAACTCGTCTCTTAAGTCCATGTTGCCCCTTTAATGTTATCTTTAAAAACTCTTCAGATGTTATTGATGTTTGATGTTTATGATCTGATGAGTTATTGATATTTTGACTAACTTCAAAAAGTGCTAAATGCATGTATCCTAACTTTATCACTGGTTTATTTAATCATTATATTCTCAGATTGCATTTTAGGTAGAATTTAAGAAATCGATTACTTCAGGCATTTAAATTGGAATTCTGAGATATCTCCAATGTGTGCTTTTTTTTGTATTAGTAGTGGTAAATGATTTGTCCCAGGTTAACTTAGGCTCATTTCTGACCTTGCTCAAGACCTATTAAAGTGACCATTACTTCCAATAAATTCTAAAAATTACCTTCAGAGTCCTGGAAAAAGTTGTTACAGTATAAGAAGGCAAAATCTTTCAAAAGATGATGTGAGACCAAACTCTTAAAAATGATCATTCACCAAGCAGAAGAGCATATACATAAGGTGTTTGGTTCACCTCTGAGCTTTGGCAACTGTTATATATCCAAGATTTTACAATGTCTATAAATTACTTTGACTAATTTTTACTTTTTCATGAACTCATCGGGTATTATTTTTCAAATTTTGAAAGCCTTTTTAAAATGTCTCTCAGCTCCACTTTCCCCGCAAGTGCCATATTTCAAAGAAGCACCTTCAGACCTTGATGGCGATTTTCACTGAAATGAATTGGCTTTCATGATACAGTGATAGGCAATGGGTTGATAGAAAGATGGCAGAGTTGTTTGCTTCAACATGTTATCATGTCTGATTTATCTGGAGCCTTTCAAATGTAATAATTTTCCCATGGGTGTATTTGGGCAGAGTTGGTTGGCTGCCTTTTACACCTGTTATCATGCCCAATTATCTCAATACTTCGATGTATCATGAGGTTCCTAATACAGAAGTATCGAAATTTGGTAGTTGTTTAAAACTATTAATTAAGATAATTTCAATGGAAATATATCGCCTGGGAAATATTGTTACCATGGCCGTAACCAGTGGGGTGGATGATTCGCTAGCAGTGATGCAATCACAAAAATTCGCCCCCCCCCCCCTTGTTATTTGCTGGCTATTCCCCTTGTTACAATAATGAATAAACTGTTCCTATTTTGCACATTTTGTTTCTACTGATGAAACAGTATTAATTGTTAAAAAAAGTTTAAATTATATATATATTTTCAAATATAGTACATGTATTATTACACATTGAAATTATCTAGTACATTTTGATTGTTCATGATCTGAGATCCTATTCAATTTTCGATCATTATACATGAATACTGAATAGCAATGTACAATCAGCTGGGACATCCTAAGTTGTTAGCTACTTATTCCTGCATGCCTCTTCTACACAGCTTACATACAATACAGTCAATAATGTGACAGTAGTATACTTTAAAGTAAATAGAAAAATATAAGAGCAGCAAGATTCCCTTTTTAATACTGTAAAAGTGTGGTCCATGTACTACAGGGTAGTTACAAAATATTTATAAGTCCATCAAATAACATGAATACTGCATCCTTTTAATAATGCGCTGTATCATAGTCTAGTATTGCATTGAAATAGCTGCGTTCATTTCACATATGAAATTAATGGTAGAATCAGAAATATGAGTAACTTTTTCAAAATTTGTCTTTCGAGCTTTTGGTTCATTTGATCACTGTCATGCCCTTTAAATAAACTCAACCACAATTATACCTCCCAGGCACTATTGATTTTGATACTCTACCACTCGACTCTCAGGCTCTATGTTCAATCACACAAAGTTCAGTTTTGTTTTTTCATTTACTCCATATTTAGTTTTGTTATCATCAAACAATGAACTAAGTGCCTCTATATAGAGTTTGTGGTAATTGTCGACATCTTCACTGGTTGGCTGTGCTATCTTTTCTGTATGGATGGGCTTTCCAACTGGAAATAAGATTAAAGTTCATGTTAGTTGATTATAATCAGTGATGCTCATATCATCATAGCCCCGGAAACAGGTATAAAAATCGAGTAGAGTTCCCTAAGAAAAGAGAACTTGACTTGATTTTTTATACATGTTCCCAAGGCCTATGCATGGCATCTTTCTGTTTCACAATGCTGAGAAGAATTACATGGTTAATCATGATGAACTATAGTCTGTTTTGTTTATTACAGCTAGGTAAAGGAGCAACTTCTGGTAATGTAAAATGATTTTTCTCTTCTTTTGTACTCCCATGCTTTTGATTGATACTCATTATAATCATAGAGTTCGTATAGTTTGATATTGTTGGTATTTAAAACTTGATGATTAATACTAATAAATTATGTTTATCAATACTCACCTATGATGTAGATTAGTACGTATCAAAGTCATTGATTTGTATCAACCTGTCTAGTTTAATAAGACTAAAATTTGGAGATGATTAGTACTACTCAATGGTTTTGATTGGTACTCACCTATGATACAGATTAGTATTAACCAGGGTATTATTGATTGGTTAGCTCTTTATGTTCAATTGGCACGAATGGTGTTGATTGGTATCTGCATATGGTGCTACCAATGATGTTGATTAGTACCCACGAAATGTGTTCACTGGTACTCACCTATGATGTAGATTATTACTCATACGATGAGGATTAGAACTCACAGATGGTGTTGATTAGTACCACACTGTCAAGCTTATTCAATTGAAAGTTGCATTTGGTGTTGATTGGCTCCATGAATTGTGTTGATTTGGGGTACTCTTCAAATTGGTACCGTCGCATGGTGATTAGTACCATTCAATGATGTTTAATTGGTACTACTCACCTATAGTGTTGATAGGTGTTCTAAACGGTAAGAACCCAAAGCTGTAATTGAAGACACCTCTACCATGGAACAATGGAGGAGAGAAACCAAACAGACGTTTGAACATTTCCTGAAACTGCCTCAACTTTGACCCTTTTGGATTGTCTGCTTGGTAAAACACATCGTTCTCACCGAATGAATACACGGGAACTAGAGATGATCTGGAACACATAATCAGATAATAGACCGTATATTAATGTACATTAAAACCTGTGTTTATTGAACAATTTTTTGCCAAGAAAACGTGTTCAGTCTTGGTAGGTGTATACTACAGAAAGGGTAATTCATGCAGAAGTCAGTAGAGTATGTGCGGAGGAAGGGTGTCAACTAGAGACAGGTGTTCATGAGAGGAAGGTGTTCACTAAGAAGGTTTTACTATTCGTATTATAGGAACGGCACAAAATCCCCGGGGACCGTATATACATTTTCAATGTTGAATTAGCCTCTTACCCAGTTCTCAGAGCCATCTTTACGAAACCCTTGCGATTCTTCAAGGTGAGATCGTAAGAGTTCTGGTGAGCTAGGAGTGCCTCATCTGCTCCACCAATTACAATAACCGCCGCGTTTCCCGTACCTTTTTTAGTCAAGATCCAATTAATACTCTCTTTGCTAACATCACATACCCCTACAATATACACGTATTTGGATTAGCTTACCACGTCTTATTATTCTAATTTGGGGCACCCGGTCAGTATGGTCACATTTATAAGAAATGTATGTTGTTTAAAGTGAATCCGCAAGCACATAAGGTACAGGTTAGTCCAACATGTACATAATGGACTACGATCTGTAGTGTTAAGGACATTAGGTGAACTATGCACAGTGCAAAATAATTTTAAATCTTAAACAAATTAATTCTGAGTCACATTGTATTATCATAATATTTATAATTTCTTAATAAGGACGATCTCTTGGTGGTGCGATTGAGGTAGCCTCAATCATTGTACACTCCCCTCCATAAGTTTGGCAACCTTAGCTCCCCATTGAACTGCGTGTTAAAGCCTCTTTACCTTTGAATTTTTATTTACTTAACCTACGATGAAAATACTTATACTATTTATCGAAACGTAATTTGAATTTATTTCCGATACTTCCAAATTTTCTCAATTTTTTTCCTCAATTACAATAAGTCGAATTAATTGATGATAAATTTGATTTTTTGAAATTCTACTGTGATCAGGGATGGGATTGAGGTTAAATCATTGTAATCACTTACCACAGTAAAGGATATAGGCTCTGATCAGTGGGTGATAAAAGTTCGCCTTTAGTGTCAATAGATGCGGAGTGATCCCCGGGAACATTTTTGAGAAGCCAGTCGCCTCTGTAGCAAAATTTCCAAAACCACCACATGCCAGTATTCCATGTGGGTGATATCCGAATATATAGTTCTTATTCGGGTCAAGGTCTTCTGTTTTGATTAAAGTTATGGGAAAATAATCCCGGTAGTATTCCCATATTTTCAGTTTCCGTACCCAATTGATTCGTCTTCCACCGGTGCTACTCGTGTTCCTATCGTAAAGAATCCAGGCCAGGTAGAACAAGGGAACGTAGGTGAACTGGGTAAAGAGGAGAATGTAGAGGAATAAAAGGTAGCAAATGACGGGTCCTAAGATGAATAGAAGTGACCATTGCAAGACGGCTAGAGTCTGTAGGCGCCTGGGGGTTGGGATTCTATGTAGAGGCACCCAGTCTACCCCCATCCACTCAGGCATACTTCCTTTTGTTGAATTCTTACAACTGTATGATTTGGTTACGCTATGTTCCCTCAATCAATGAGTGTCTGCAGTTGATTTTCAATATTAGCTTTCCAATAGCCTACCGTCGAATACTGCATTCATTAGCACAATCAATGCATCAAATTGATACGGATGCTGAATCTCGGAAAGAAATCATTTGATGAAATATGTTGTATATCCTCGTAATACTGTTGCACACTGTATGTCTCTAACTATCGATAAATGCAATAAAATAGAGCACGTTGAGGAAATAGCGGACTTCAAGGTTAAAGTTATATACATTTATATTCATGAACATTTGATTGACTCGTGTAAATACAATCAGTTTTATGATGTTTACATATGTCTGATATTGAAAAAGGCTTGAACAAGGTCGCTATAATCTAAACAGAGAAAAATAATATATCACTTTGTTTCAGATGTTTGTGTGTGAGGATCCAGTTTCTCCCGAGGGATACAAAGGATATGGCCAGGGAAATGGGCAGATTTTGAGCTACATGTAGGAACTCCATCATCCAGAAAACTCAGAAAACATTCGTTTTGGGTTGAGTTAAAGAATATATTCAGGGTTACATGTTACGCTAGGCGTAGGCCTCCTGTAGCCTTTTGATAGAGGGTAAATATATTGCCCAATCCCCTTAGAGCTCACGATCCGCCCGAATACATGTAGTATTTTGTAACAAAATCGTGGCTTATACAGTAACAAATCGAACATGGTCAACAAATCGAACATGAACAAATCGTAATAGATAGTGAATATCTTATCTCAGCTTAGTACATCATGCCCTTTGATCAATTTGCGCATACTCTCAATAAATGATTTATGATGACCTCGTTTGCGTTTATCAGAATGAACGAGCGGTTAACTTTCCAAAGACTCGACACGGGCGGGACGCTTGATTTTCCCAATCGTTTTAAAGATGGCGGCGCTTGTCAATGGCGTCACCCAAGGTTTGGACGTCGTACGCCATCTTGGAAAATTCCAGACGCCAGAAACGCATCGGACCAACTTACGAGTAGAGGTATACCAAATGTTTAGTATACCTTGCGTGATCACAGGAAGCTGAACACAATGCATTTGATATATCAAGTTTTTGGCTCATTAACATAGCGTGATCACAGGAAGCTGAACACAATGCATCTGATAAATCAAGTGTTTGGCTCATTAACATAGCGTGATCACAGGAAGCTGAACACAATGCATCTGATATATCAAGTGTTTGGCTCATTAACATAGCGTGATCACAGGAAGCTGAACACAATGCATCTGATATATCAAGTGTTTGGCTCATTAACATAGCGTGATCACAGGAAGCTGAACACAATGCATCTGATATATCAAGTGTTTGGCTCATTAACAAAGCGTGATCACAGGAAGCTGAACTCAATGCATCTGATATATCAAGTGTTTGGCTCATTAACCTAGCGTGATCACAGGAAGCTGAACACAATGCATCTGATATATCAAGTGTTTGGCTCATTAACCTAGCGTGATCACAGGAAGCTGAACACAATGCAACTGATATATCAAGTGTCTGGCTCATTAACATAGCGTGACCACAGGAAGCTGAACACAATGCATCTGATATACCAAGTTATGGCTCATTTAGCTAGCGTGATCACAGGAAGCTGAACACAATACAATAATAAAAAATAAAACTTAAAAAAGACTCTTATATGACTTGAGTTAGTTTTAATTTGTGACTATACTGTTTTACTTGAAGTAAGTATGTTTATTTAAACAATCTTACGGGCTAGCATGCTAAATGTCAAAGATTATGTTGTTTGATGAAAAATATACTATTAAGTACTACGGTTACTCGTTTTTTGGGTAGTCGGACGGAGTAATTTTCATAATATTTGGGAATAAAATGTTCATTAAGTAAGTGACTTCCTTATACACATATCACTAAAGAAACCATTATAAAGCAAGGTTGTTTGGTACTGTCTCTGTCCTCCAAATAAAAGGGGTTTTGTTAGTTCCTTCTGGGTGCCTCACTGCGTAAATTAGTTTTCGATTGCCATCATGCATGTCATTGTCTTGAAATCACTGGTGAAACAATGTGGACTTTTCTATTTAAAATGCTTTTTTTATTTCAGGTATTTAAAAATTACATCAATTAAAAGCTAAATAACACAAGTTAGAAGATGCATTATAGTAATAATGTCTCTCTTGGAGAGCTCCATTTTAAAATTATGGTTTTAGTCATTAGTGTTATAAAAACCTAGAACATGTTTATGTATATCCCACTTTGCAATGAGTATACATCTTTAAATATGCACTGTATAATTCCATCTTCTGACATGTCATACATAAAGTTTTGTCTAATAACACCCCATAAGTTGTATTCTACGTACATGATGCAGACCTGTGCTTCACATTATCTGGCACATTATCAGCATTGGTATTACAGTGATATCCCCAGCATTAAAGCAAGTAGGCGTAGTACCCAACTGAAATTTTGACATCAGGCTTACACCCGCCTGAAAATTCATTTGCATCGACTTGAAAATGAGAAAAATCATGAAAAATTTGCATTCTTTGACCAATATTTGGTCTGAATTGTGAAAATGGGAATTTTGCACCCACTTGAGAAAAAATTCTATGGAGAACACGATACAAGGCGTATCAAAAAAAACGCAACAAGCGATTATCTCGTAAAATCACAAAACTAGTGATGATTACATCAATTTCATTCAACGTACCATATATAAAGCCATGCCCCTCCTCTTTGCAATCATATGTCATTCATTCACATGTTGTCATGGTTCGGTGAGAAATCCTTCCATTTACACAGTGGGTCAAAATCGGCTCTGGACCAAGTTTCAGAAATTGCAAAAATTAGTGCAAGAGCTAAGTACCAATGGAAGTTCTCCTGACTTGAATTGTTGTGACTTTTTCTTTTGGAGCTATCTCAAGGCATCTGTGCTCTCCATTCCTTCATCAGATATAACTCATTATTCTCTCTTGAAAAAAATACGAAATGGAAAACCTGTAGTTTTGGTCACAGTTAGATAATATTTTGGTAATATTTTCCATGATTGGTCATCATAGTTATTCTATCTTTAAGACCATTTACATTAGAGGCTATTGATTTTCCCTTTCAAGTCTATCGTTTTGTAACCACCTTGATTATAATTTCCAGTTAATGTTTTCCTTCTTAAAAGTACATATTTTGGCATGATAATTACAGAAGCTCAATAAAGTAGCTGTAAACAAAGCAATAGTGATATTTCCATGAATAGGCAAATCTTAAACTTTTTACCCTAACATTTGCAATTGGTTACTCAGTTTTTGATCATTACATATGTATACACCCAGAACTAAATATAGCTCATTTTCCAGTTAAGTCCAGCAAAATGCATGCCTCTGTTTTGTGTGTTTTTCCAGTTTACATTGCTCCAGTTTTTGTTTTATTTATAATTATTCCAGAGACTTGACCAAAATCATCTAAAATTTTTAGAACATTTTCAACAGAACGATTGTTTTTTATAAGGTAGTATCATCTGCTAACTGAGCAATTTTGATTACTTCGTTACCAGATATCACACTACAAACAATTGAAAATGTTAAGCTTCACCCCGGAAGTTTAGATGTGTTTTATTTCTATAGATTCAACCTCTCTTGAACGTTGTTCATCTTTTCTTGTATTTTCGAAACTGTAGGATGAGGTGTATTCTCTGATTTATCGTCGAATACAGCTCTAAACATTTCCAAACTTTGCTTGTAGTATTCTAAAGCATTTGGAACATCATCCTTGCTGTAATGCACATCTCCTATTCTTCCCAATATTGTGGCCACTTCTGGGTGGTCATCGGTTTTAAAGAATTCCTTGTACATTTCAAGGCTTTCGTTGAGGTATTTTAACGCTTCGTCTTTATAGCCTTTGTTGTTATACACATCGCCGATTCTGCCAAGTGTTTTTGCTATTTCCGGATGGGGCCTGTTCTCATACACCTTTATATTCATCTGGTAGCTTTCATTGAATTTCTGTAGGGCGTTCGAGTTATCACCTTTATTTAGATGTATTTTTCCTATCCTGAGCAAAGACGCTGCAGTGTGTCGATGTGGTGTATCGCCGTACACTTGTTTCCTTATGGCATATGCATCTTTACAATATTCCATAGCTTTATCATTGTCACCCATTTCCATGTACACACCACCTATGTTATGCAGAACCGTCGAAATCTCATGATGGGCTATATCGCCATAGACTTGTTTCTTCATTTTTAGACAATCTTCAAAGTACGGTAAGGCTTTCTCTGATTGATTGGACCTGTGGTGCACGTGGCCTATGTTATTCAGTGACGTTGCTACATCCGAGTGTGGGACATCTACCCATATCTTACGTCTCATGTCGTAGCATTCGGTAACGAACTTCATAGATGTTTCAAACTTACCCTGGAAGCAGTAAATACTTGCGAGTGTGTCAAGAGCATTCGCAAAAGTTGCGTCGGGTTGATTGGGGAATATTTTCTTGTACAATGCAATGCATGGCTCCTGGTGTAAAAGAGCGTTCCCGTATTCAGCCAGTCTAAGATATACTTCGCCAATATGGTTCAGAGTAACTGCAATATCTTGAGTACAAGTTGTTCTAGCATCTATGCGCTTGTACATGTCAAGTGCCTTCTTGTGATTTTGAAGTGCCGCGCTGTGGTCACCCAGGTGAAAGTACATTTTCCCGATGTCATTCAGAGCTGCTGCGACATCCTCGTGAATTTCCTCGCCATGTATCTCTTTCTCAGTTTGAAGAGCCTTCTTGTGGTATAACAGTGCATCTTGCATCATGCCCCTCGTCTGATAAAGCGCTCCAATACATGTCTGCACAGCAGCCTCCTCTTCTTTAAAGCCATCCAGAGCTTCTAGTTTCTTTTCCTCATTTTTAAAAGCCCGTAATGCATTGTCGAAAAATCGCATCTCTTTATGAAGCATTCCTTTGATCTTCTCACTTGTTTCAATGTACCTAGGTTGATGGTTCCATTCCTCAAGATGTTCACTTGTAATGTTAGACTTCAGGAATTCCTTCCATGGCAAGAACGTAAGATAGAAGCGGTAAATCGCTGTGTAATCTCTCACCGATAGAGACTCCGTTGAATCTTGTGTATGGCTTCGGTTGGATTTCTCCGATACGAAGGAAATCACTTCCTTCTGGCGTTTATATAAGCTGTAAACCCAGTGCCTCAAATTGATACAGATACAGATCATAAGCTGTAGGTCTTTCTTTGCTCGCTCACTAAGTATTTTCCTTTCATAGAGCTCTTCCAAGACATCAATGGGTGCTTGGGCGA